ATTTAAACTTGAATTGTTTGGGGTGGAAGAAGGGCAGATCAAGACAGCAAGGGGTGGGAAGAAACTTTTGGCAGTGATGGACATGTTCATTATTTTGATTATGATGATGATTTCATGTCAAAACTTAGCAAATTGTACACTTTAAGTATGTACCATTTATTGTATGTCAATTATACTTCAATAATGTTGCTAATAAGAAAAGAATTGGAGCTATGAAGGGCCACAGACACTGAGAATCTGAAACATGTTTGTTGTACCATAAACTTCAGAGGGGGAATGTGGCTTTCTGTGGAAGCTGTTTTGTAATGAATGCAATCACGAACAGAAAAGACACAATATGTTGCATTTCTCAGTGTCCTCCTGCTTCTTTTGAATCATATCTACTTCACTTACTGACAAATTGGTTTTTACTCTCAACAATGAAGAAATCATTTACTCTGGCTGCAAAGAAGTAAAATGTATTCAACTGTGTTTCCTGTATCATCAAGTGAATCACCAGCTTGGCTTAAATCTCATGTGCTGTTGTTGGGGAAGTCGGGGGAGGATTTACAAATCAGGGGGCCCATCTCGGTTGTACTGTCAGAGGCAGAGCTGAGCTTGCAGTGTGACAGCATGGATGCACCCAGCTGGTGCTGGGAACTGAGAACTGGGCCACTCTTGGCACAGCCACATATAGGTGAGCAAAGAAGTGTGGCTCCAAAGATCTTTCATTCCATTTCCTAATGAAATTTTTAGAGTTATAATTAATTGATGGTCTTTTTCTTTCCTCCTTCATTCCAATGATTGTTTCAGTTCCCTGCTTAAAATGCCAGTAGCTTCCCATAGTTCTGGTATAAAACCCCAAAACCTTCCCATGGCCTACATGCCCTTCTTTTCTTGTCTGGCCTATACCTACCTCTCCAGTTCCATCCAGTCTATTCTCATTCACACCTACTCCCCAACCCTCACCAGCATATCCTCTCCCTTTCCTTCAATCACTCTCCTACTTTGTTCCAGTCACACTGGCTGGCTTCTTTCAGTTCCCCCAACTCAGTGTTACCTTCAACATCAGGGCATTTGAATATGCTGTTGCCCCTGTCATTAGCAATTCCCCTGGCCACCACCTCCACCGCAATGAATTCCTATTCTTTCTTG